GGTAAAAAAGAAAACATTATTATACCTAGTATAATAATGAAACAAATTCGAGAACAAAATGGTGAAATTATTATTGATAGATCTTCTATTTCTATCTTTCCTTGTTTTTTTCTAGAGACAAAAACGAATAAATCAATATCAATTGTATATAATGCTGTTTACTCTATAGTAGAAAATGATACAGATATTGAAATGACAACATCTTCTCAATCTTCAATTAAATCAACAAGTAATGATGATGAATATAAAACAGAAAAAACTACTATCAATGATCGAAGTCAATCAACTAATTCAACATCATCAAATCCATGTGTTCTTTGTCTGACAGAAGAAAAACAATTAGCTTGTATACCATGTGGTCATTCGTTGCGTTTATGTCCAATATGTCGACGAGAAATCAATGCATTTGCTAGAATTTCTATTTAACAAAAATTAATTGTCGTATATGTATATTCATTCTTGAAATTTTTCTTCGTAGTATAGTTCGTTCTTGAAGGTGTGAGTGTGGGTGTCCATGTAAGCATCGATCGCCTCTTCATGTAAATCCACAACTACACCCACTATTCTCACTAATCATGTTGCCGAAATTTTTTGTAATTGAGGGATGTAGGAATACGATGGAACTCTATATGCCACTGTACAATTTATAAATCGATATAACTTTTCATAGTATGCTGAGACTATAGCTTCGCATGGGATGGGATGCGATTCATAACATGGGACAACTGAAATGTCAAGTACCTTTAAAAAAAAAGGTTATTTAACTATTATCGCTCCAGTGAGAATATGAGTTATCATACTATTTTATAATTTATTTAAAATGAAATTTATAATTTTACACTCTCGATTATTTTGCTTATTTACAATAAAGTAGAGTCCTGTATCGAAATCAATTTACCCTTTATAAAGTAACACATTCAGAGTATTCTAACAGCATTTCATGTTGGTACTCTTTGATGAAAAATACCGTTAAAATTGTCTGAATGTATCAATTTATGGATTGAATATTAGAGAAAGGAAAGGAATGCATCTTAAAACTGGACATATTTTGATAGATACAGGTCCTTATAGAGCTTTAATTTTTAACTATTTTCACTCATACAGTTAAGTATGACATTTAAACTGAAATAATTATACTTTATTCAATAAAAGAATAGATTCATATAAAATGTCTTCGTCCCATGGAATGATGGGACGGAACTGTTCCATTTCACGCGGAATTCTGGTTGAGACTGTAAAACATTTTGATCAAATAATGAATATCGACCATAGAATAGGACATAAATAGCCTAGATTAAAAAGTTTAAACAATAATTTGCATGATTTAAGAAACTATTACAGGCACATTGTCTTACCTTCGCCATTCTTGATAAATATTTCTGATATGAGAACAGTCCTTGTATTAATTTCATGATTTTTCATTCTTTTGATGTAATCTTTTTGTTGATTTGAGAAAAGCTTTCTATCTCTGGCACACTAAGCTACTTCTTGTTTTGTTTGTTCGTAACTGATGTGAATTAATGCAGATGTGTTATGTTTTTTAGAAAAAATCTCTTTTCCAAATAATTTATGACATATGTTAAAAGTGATATATGTTCATCCCAATGTAAGTAAACATAGTAGTATAGGAAACGATATCCATTCATTATTTTCCCTTCATTAGATATTAAGTATATTTCGAAGTCTTTCCTTACCGAACTGTGCGCAAGAAGTAAACTATGTTCAACACATCTCAAATAGAAAAAGATGAAGATACCGTTATTTAAATTTTAGTTTCAAC